TGGTGAGAAATACAAAATAAATACAAGTTTTTGGTACTACTTTGTCTTATAATGCTTACATGTACCTCTCAGCCAAAAACAATGATTCAGGCATCTAAACAACCGTATTTTTAACCACTTAATACCTCTTTAAACCATGTAATGAGGTTCTGATTTTACAGGCATTAAACTGTTCAGACATCTGGTTCCTATCAACACCACCGTGAGCAATACTGTTTCTCTAGAACAGAGCTTTTTACATCAAACCACTCTGACTGACTTTGTTTGCATCCACACCATTTATAAATGCAGAAATTTTTAAAAATTGGTGGAATTCCCTACTGGAATCAGCTAACATGGCAGGCATATAGTTTACAGTTGGAGGATTCAGCTCTGTTACTGCTCTCCTTAAAAGTGAGCGTCCTACAAAGAGTTTGGGCAGTGATGAGGAGCCTCAGGGTGAATATTAAGATGTGCACATTCTGCAGGCGTTTTTTTTTCCACTTAATAAAGTCTGTGCTCATGACTCTACACTGAACAAGAGTGGTATTCATCAGAGAAAACCAAAAAGCACTGGGCATCTGCAACCCACCATCAAATTTCAAATTAGGGAAGCCCAGCACATTAAAATCATCATTTGTATATTCCTATCATATTCAAATATTCATAGTAGCATTCACATACATTTTCAGTTTAAAACCAAAAAAGGCTCACAACCCCTGCTGCGGCTTGTCACACTGAAACTCATTTTCATATCATGCTAACCACCTTCTAGCTATCTGCATTTTTCATTGCTGGACATTTGAGAAGTGTTTTTTCTTCCCACTGAACAAAAACATTCACTAAAGACTCTGAAGCATCTTGGGATTGTAGTTACTGGGTCAAAGTTTACACTAATTTGACAGTAAAAAAAAAAAAACAACTTTTTTTTTACAGTGTGGAACAATGTTCTTTGGAAAGATGACACAACATATTTACATATGAGGAAAACAAAGCATTGCAAGCCAACATTAAAACTCATTCAAACTGTTAAGCATGGTGGTGGAAGTGTGATGCTGTGGGGCTGCTTTGCTGATTCAGGGTCTGGAAGGCTCTGCAGTCACTGATCAATGAAAGTTGTTTGAGGATTTTTTTTTTTTTTTATTGTCAGAATGTGAGGAGATCCATCCGTGCTCTCTACTCATAACACAGTCTGAGTCCATCACAAGAACAATAGAATTTAGCTCATTTGTTCAGCAAACATGTAAAAGTGAAAAATGTTCTGTGCATTCTTTGAAAAATAAGCTTTCATTTATTATGACATAAAAATTAGATCACATACAGATCATTTCAATGGGTCACAATTTTTTCTTCTCAAAACTGTATTAGGCTAAAAGCATGACCCTTAACCCAGGCTCACAGAGAGCACCTGTTTACCAAGCTTATCGCATGAATCACCCTTTGACGTCCCGCCATCACCACAGCGTTTCGGCATAGCTGTGGCCATTTAAACCCTCTCCACTGCCTGTCCGTCAGCCAGCTCAGCCTGGCTCCTCTCCAGCTGCACATGGACAGGTGGCAGGCGGCCACATGCATGTCGAATGACCACTCTATCCACCATTCATTCACCTAATGCCAGCTGATCCAATGGTCTACAGATTCGCATGCATGGACTGTTACAATATGACTAAGTGTAATGTTAAACAAAACGGCTGTGCTTACTCTGAACAAGGACATGACAACAGTGACTATAGATCTTTTTTTTCTAGGGGTGCACTGATCAGGACGCTTTAAGCCCAATTCTTGTTTCTTTAAAGTCAAATTGGCTGATGGCTGCATTTTTTTCCAATCTTTACTAGCCAAAGTCTTTTTTAAAGCAATTTGCAACAGTAACATAATATCTTTGCTCTTTACACTTAGCCAGCATTTTGTTGGCTTAATGAATGTGCTTATATGAAACACATAGGGTGTTAGATAGGCCTGCTGGCTCACATTTATGTCATAAAAATCATAATAGACAGCCCAAAATAAAAACAAATGGCTTGTTCCAATCCCACAACCCTAATTCTCTTTTTTTCTTGACCTGGTTTCACCTTCAGCTGTGGACAGTGGTGTGTGATAAGAGGAGCCAAATGGCTGCGGTGCCACTGGATTGCTGTAAAGGTCAGTGTGCTTACCATGAGGCCTGGCCTACTGATCAGCATCTCGGAACCTGAGTCACGTCCCAAAAAAGGCTCCAGGCCTGATGTAAATATAGACAGGGCTTTGGAAGCCCTGTGGCTGCATCATCACTTTGAGAGCCTCAATAAAGGAGGCGAGAACAGTACCAATAACAGCTGTGTATGAATCGTTAACGCGGCAGAGGTGATACAGCTTTACATAAGCAATGTCAATGATTCAACAGAAGTATTGAATACTAGACAGCCTCTTTCGCCATTTCAGAAATCGGCTTGTAACACTGTAAATGTTTTGCATCTTTTCAGGCATTAACAGATTGTGTCATCATTTAATGGATAACGTAGTGCTTTCCTAAAGTCTAAACAAGTTTTAATCACAGCTGAAAAACGTAATTATGGAAATTGGTCTTATTGAACAGTCATCTTATCCTGCCTGTACTTTTGAAAAGGTAAGTTCACAGAAGAAGAGAAAAATTCTGTCCCAAGAATGTACTGTAATGTGATCAGATTCCCATTAGTTTCTATTGGTCCATTCATCATGAAATGTTCACAATGAAGAAGAGCTGGTGGCTGGTGGTAAAAAAGTTTGTTTTGAGAAATTATAGGGACTAAAAGGCCTGTAACTTGGAGTTTTAGTTTTTGAAGCCATTTTGGACTCACACCTTACCTTTAAATACTACAGAATACCACAGAAATTAATATTTCATAGATGTACTAGATAGCAAGCATATGGTGGCCGACACGACACAATGCACAGTACAATGAATAACCCACTGTGAACTCAGAAATGTGATGCAAATTCAGAAAACACTCAACATGACTACACCTGAACTATAGTGGCATGCAAACGTTTGGGCACCCCTGATCAAAATTTCTGTTACTGTGAATATCTAAGCGAGTAAAAGATGACCTGCTTTCCAAAAGACTTTAAGTTAAAGATGACAAATTCCTTTAATATTTTAAGCAAGATATATATTTTTTTTATTTCCATCAGTTTCAAAATAAAAGAGGAAAAAAAAAACGAAGTAAAAGTTTGGGCACCCTGTATGGTCAGTAACTCTCCCCTTTGGCAAGTATCACAGTTGATAAACATTTTTTGTCACCAGCTCAGAGTCTTTCCATCCTTTTTAGGGGATTTTTGCTCATTCTTTCTAGCAAATAGTTCAGTTATAGTTCAGTGAGATTCTTGTGCTGCTCTTTTGAGGTCTATCCTAAGATTTTTGATGATGTTTAGGTTGTGAGGACCATGGCAAAACCTCCAGCTTGTGCCACTTGAGGTATTCCATTGTAGATTTTGAGGTGTGTTTAGGATCATTATCCTGTTGTAGAAGCCATCCTCTTTTCATCTTCAGCTTTTTTCAGATGGTGTGATGTTTGCTTCCAGGATTTGCTTGTATTAAATTTAATCCGTTCTTCCTTCTACCGGTGAAATGTTCCATGTGCCACTGACTGCAACACAAGCCCAAAGCATGATCAATCCACCCCTGTGCTTACCAGCTGGAGAGGTTCTTTTCATGAAATTCTGCATCATTTTGAGTCTTTGCTCACTGTGACCAAAAAGTTCTATTTTAACTTCATCAGTACACAGGACTTGCTAAAACAAATGCTTCATCTTTAACTTAATGCCTTTTGGAGATCAGTTCATCTTCTATTCACCTAACAATTCACAGTAACAGATATTTTGACTGGGGGTACCCAAACTTGCCTGCCACTGTACATTTTACAAACGGCAAATATAGAAAACACATGCACCTTCAGAAAAGCTGCAAAGCCAGTCACAACACAATGCAAGTGAGCCACAACACAACGCAAATGTTTCTGGAAGACTTTCAAAGGGGATGGAATATCTTTGATGGGAAATCACTGACAGAAGTGGATGAGACCACAGAGACTCACATTCCAGTAAGCTGGTCTTGGCTGGCTAGTTAGCGATCTGATATGTGATAGCTGTATTACAGTAGTTACCAGTTATTTCTGGTATTGCTATTTGAAAGTTTATGGTAACATTCTACAGCTAATTTCTGACTGACAGATAAAATTACACCAGAAAATGTAGGAATACTCCATTAAATTTGCAAAAATAATTTAGAAAACAGACTGAAAGGTTTAATTCTAAAGATGCAATGTCACACAGTCTGACATAAAAAGCTCACTCTCCAATATATTAACCTGTTGTAGGAATGTGTCAACATGAAACTGTTTGATTTAAAATTAAATACTGTTTTAGTGTTGTGTTTATAACAATAGTCAATATTTCAGCTCAGCTCAGTCCTTCTGTAAGCAGTTAAACTCAATATTCATGATGCAGTTTAGAACCTGATGAGTCAAATTTTTAAAATTCATAACCGAAAAACAACTGGAGCAAAGCTTTGAAATTTTGCATGGTTTTATCAATAACATTTAAATTTCTCTTTGAATTGTTTAACGGTTAAGTTAAATTTTATGATGTGATCCTGGGAAGTTGGCTACATGAAGGTTGGCTACATGAAAATTAACAACTAACCATTTCTATTTATTTGCTGAACTTTCTTTGCCCAAGGTGTTAAATTCAGCAAGTAAACAGTAATTGTGGGCTAAAGTGTGGTGCCCAAAATTTAGCATACATCTGTATATGTGGTGGGCTAACGTGTGAAAAACCTCCAGTGGAGCAAACAAGTGGCACATACATAAAACGTTAGTAAGTATTGTTTTAGTCTATCTCTGCACTGTTATACTTACAATGGACAATAAGACAATGAGTGACATAGCAAAAATTGGCAGGAGCCCAAAGTCAACTGCGTGCCATCTCTCAGCAAACATGGCTCATCTGACCTTCAAATTCTTTGTGTAACAGCACTGTGTACTCAAGGCTCGATTGTCAGTAAAAAAGTGCTTAAGTTATTACAATGAATGATTATCAAATGTCAAACAGTGTTGCTGTAAAACTTTAATCACTGAGAATGAGCAATGTTGAAATAAATACATGGCAAATACATTTGTATTCAGTCATACAAGACATTAAGCAATAAAGTGAACGCTTGCAAGATTGTGGTTGACAGTTGTGATACAAACAGTTCATATGACGCGACCAAAGTTCAGCCATTCAGGAGAAGAGGCAAGAGAAGTTCTTTGACTATTAGCAAGATCGCTCAACTTCAAACTGCCATCACTAATTCCATCACTTGAATTTTCATTAGTTCTTTTTTGACATAACGAGTTAAGAAATGATACAAAACCAGACATGAGACAGTCAGACAATAAATTAATCCCATCAGCATCCAATCTCTACTCAACACGAATCTAGTACAAACTAACAGCCCTCCTCATGGCTAGTCATCACAATGGTCACTGTAATGGCCACAAAAGCAGACGTTAGCATGGTTGTTTTCCTTTCAGAGGTTAAGAAAGGGTCGTCAACATGTTGCACTATTATATACATAACAAGACCATTTCTGAGCATGAGTGATTTCTAATTCAATTCCAGAAACATTAACAGCTTTAACGGCCCTACATTAGAACAGCGGAGGAATATTTTGACTCAACTACAGCCTGACAAAATGACTTGGAATTACCAGAGAGTGTAGCCAGGGAGATGGAGTACTGTCACTTTAAGCACTCAGAGCAGAGGCAGTGCTAGTGACAGACTGTTTGCCAAGCTATTTTCACACACAGCAAGCCTCTCTCTGGCCTATTTTCAGCCTCTTCACTGGCGGACTGTGGGATTACATTAGTAGACTTCACTCCTGCCAGCCAGTCTCGAAGTTGTCAAACTGAAGTTTGCTCTCACTAACCATTTACATAGTTCTCCTTCATTACCAAGTAGGCTTCTGCTTTAAGTCTTAAACATATCAAATGCTGATATTCTGTGTCATTCATACTAAAATGAAATGTTCTAATACAACACAAGGTTTGGTCTATGATGTACGTAATGCAATCAAATATGCATATGAGTCCAATACCTGAAACCCTCTAGGTATGCGGTACAGATTAACTGGATTCTTCCTAGAATCCTGGTTCAGGACAAAGTGTAACTATTAACAATTACATACACAGCACAACACATCCTATCACACCATAGCCATATCAAATGGCTAAATGCTAGTAAAACTTCAAATCTAGCTACAGTTAGGCCTGTCACAATCAACATTTAGCGATGATTAATTGCCATATAAATAACTGCAAATAACAATTTAATTGTCCTTTCAATGATTGCGACTACTAAAAGTACAAGCCCAAAGTGGCCAAACTGGCCGATTAGCTATCAGGCTAGCGGTCAATACTTAGTAGTTCCCAACTGACGACAGAAACAGCTCGAGCTCAAATAAACAAACATTACTCACTGCTGCCCTCTATAGGTGTTATAGCACCAATCAGAACTTAAAACTTAGGTTTCTCCAAGACCAATGATGTGATGTAAACATATGACTGTGAACGCTAATAACTGTGGAAAATAACTGAGGTCAGCTCAAACAACTGCAATCATATGATTATGTAATAATTGTGACAGGCCTAGCTGTAGTGTGGAATTCACAAACCTAATGTGGCCTAATGTGCTTTCCTTACACAAGAAATTAGCTACTATTCCTCAAAGACTTCAATCACAATCAGAATCTTTCAACTACCCAAGTACAAAGTGTACAAGTCTTGGGTCTCAGTGCAGCTATAAACATAACTATTAATAAGAATAAAGAAAAAATATGTAAAAATATGTATTTCTTCCATATTTTATTGGAAATTATGTTAACACCTGCACCAAGACAAACTGCTTATACTTGGCAAATAAAAAAAGTTCAGATTCTAAATCAAAGTAATGAAAGGAATGATCTTTTCCACTGGACCATTACAGTTTACTCCAAGCCAAAGCCCTCAGCATTTGAAATGGCAATGGTTAACTTCTGCCTCAGTTCCTTCTTGCTCTTGTAGGGAGGCAGGCAGAGCTGGTTGAAGCACGTATGCGACACGGGCAACCTGCACAGAGGAAACGGGCAGTTAATGTGATTTGAAGCTTACAGTTAATCTAAAACCACATACACAAACGATCTGACTCAGGGTTAATTACCAGTCTGTGGAGACGTCAATCTTGGAGATTTTGAAGTTGAGGTCGGCCATCCCTCCCACTGGAACACGGTCACTTCCTGTGGTGAAGTGCAGAAGCCTCTTCTGCAGCTCCAGCGGAAAGGCCAGAACCACGTCCCAGAATGCACTGTATCATCAAATAATATATTCTTTAAATGAACAGTCCAGTGAAAAAATCAAATTTACACGACTCCAATCCCCAACTATTACTCCAAACATAGCCAAGCAGCCAAAACATATTTGGTGTCCGAAGTTTGCTGTTGCAGTTTTGCTCTACAGCTACTAGTAGTACTGTAGGGCTGGACAGTTCTGAGCACCAATGAGTGGCATTTCCACATGGACACAGTTCAAAACGGAAGGAATGTCACAGTACGGCCCTGAAAAACATTTGGATCTACACTGGTGAAGAGGCCACTTCCAGTGCTTGAAAGTAACAGTAGCCTCATAGTTCCAGTGCAAAACTAAAGAAGCAAACTTCAGACACCAAACACATGTTGGACAACTGACTTCAATTGGGGAAAAAGAAAAACTGTATAAACATACTTTTTGGATGAACTATCCCTTTAAACCATATGCTTAGTTTCCGTTAGACCAATATTTCTCAAGCTTTGTCCTAGAGCCCCACTGTCCTGCACACCTTAGGGTTTTCCTTGCTTTAACACACCCACTTCCACTTAGTGGGCAGTTGTTAATTGGCTGATTTGTTGGATCAGGTGTGTTGGGACCAGGGAAAACACTAAAAAGTGCAAGGCGGTAGGCCTTCAGGACCAGGCCTGAGAAACACTGCTTTAAACCATGTGCTCAATGCAATAAACTGTAGTCTGTGCAAAAAAAAAAAATATAGAAATAGGGTGCAAATAAATGATATATTTTTTAGATATATGGTAGACATTGCAGTTATGTACATCTATTGTCTCAGACGGAACAAAACACTATATCCTGTTTGTCATTTTTCATTTTTTTACATCATTTAAAAATCCAAACAAGGTTCCAAACTACTTGGAATAAAATATCTTTACATCAATTACACTGAAAGTTAAATAAAGCTCTTTCCTTTTCCTGTAAAGCTACCATTTTGGAGATACAAGTGATGATATGTAGTCTATTAGACTCATATCACTTGTGATACTGGTCTTTGCAATACTGATATCACAGAAGACTACACTTTGCAAATGAACCTCTGACCAACTATTATTTATTTTTACTCTATGCTGTGAGCATCTGGATCAATTACAGCTCCACTGGATGTCTCTGTGGATGTTTTGATGAATCAAAATCAGGTAATTTGATAAAAGTACATGACTTTGGTCAGTATAATGTAGGCCAAACTCTAAAAAAATCAGTCAAATGTGGTTTTATCTGGAGAGTAACATTTGACTAGCAGCCTGACATGTTTTGCAAAGAAGCATTATTTGTGTAATTCTCAGATATGATTGCAGAATTGTTACCGGACAGTGGGGTCAGTCTTGCTGTAGCCTTCGTACTGTGCCACCCTCTGGAGAGAGCTCATGTCCAGATTGGGACTCCCACAGACCAGGATTTCAACCTCTTCTGGCCTCAACAGCTATGAGAAAATGAACCAGAATAACCACACTGTTTACGGTAGTGATACTGATTAGCATGACTCTACTGATTAGTCATTTGCAACATTAGCACCGCTGTTAGCTAAACAAAATTCATTTAGCATGTTAGCATGTTATTTGTCATGTTACGTAATGTTCTGTAGTGCAGCATTGTATCCCTTAGCCTCCCTCATTACTTTACAAAATTCAAAGTTTTGTAAAGTGTAGTTTTGCATCATTTTTGCTTTTGCAAAGTGTAGTTTTGCATCATTTTCGCTCATCAATGTTCTCTCACTACAACACCCAGCATGCATTGTGCAAATACACTCAACAATTCATGGCAATAGAGAAATGCTCTGATGTCAAGGCTTCCTAGCAGTATTGTCAGCTTCCTTCTGCACTAACCATTTCAAACAGCCTCATGCATCTGCTTTTCTTAGTCTTTAAAAATCTCACTCTCTGGACTAGGACTACTGTGCCACTGCTATAAGAGGTGAGTAAGCATGTTTACAACACATATGTAGCAATGGTTATTTTTTTTTTATTTTAATAAGCCATTAAAATGTTCCTACTATTCCACTGTCCATTTCATTTTTGCCAAATATTCAGACGTATGACAGACAATCTTCATGACTCTGGAACTTATTGCTCCTTGACCAGCCCTACCATCCATACTTTACTGTATTGGTGCATACATCTTGTCAAGTGTTCCATACACTGACACACCTTGGAGTGTTCCTTGTCTGCGGTCGACTGCTGCAACTCTGATTTGAAGGCAATACTGGTGCTGGATATGATAACGCTTAGAGAGAGAGAAAGTTGTAAAAGGTGCGATGGTGCGATATCATCAGTCATGTCCATCCCCCTGCACAAGCCCTCCCAACACCAGAGAGTTATTAGCGTCCCCGAGCCTCTTACATAAGCATGCGGGGACGGAGACAACTGTTGCATAACTGAGAGAGCAGGAGGTGGGCTTAAACCCAGTTGCATTCACTGAAAGTAGGCAGCACAGTCTGTATGCTTACTTTTCCCTCACTTCAACCAGCATGACCGTATGGACTGAGTAGCTGTGTACATATGTGTACATATGAGAGCCTGCTGCCAATTCTCAGCCTCCACACCCAGCCGAACAAGAAGCAACCGGTGATACTGCAGTTCAGTGAACTGTGAGATAAACACTGACTCAGAACAATCTCGCAAAAGCCAGGAAATTCCGTAACTTGATTAGGAAAACTGCACAACTCCCTCTCCCTCTCAATCTCCCTCTCTTTTTGGTTAGCCGTGCGTTTGGAACAGCGAGCCTTCACAAGAAGCGCTCCATATTGGGAAGCATAATTTTCAGCCTGGTGTTGCCAAGATAAACACGTGCGCAATTTTAGCTTTTCCCCAAACCTCTTAAAGTCTGGATAGCAAACAAAGAGCAACACACAGCTTCAAGTCTTTTCCCACATGCTAGTGCACAGACGTCACAGACAAAGAAAACAGGAACAAATACATAAGGTAATAAATATACTCCCTTGTAATTGGGACTGTTATGATTACTGGATTACATGATAAAAACGATTTCATCAATTAAATGTACCTCTTTGATGAGCGGGCAGTGATTATTTGTCAGTTTGCATAATGAGAATGCAGGTTTTAAATCCTACTACTGGTCTTTCTAACAGTGAGAAACAGAGCCTTTTGGAGGCATCCACTTATATGCATTTTATATTGCTTTTTAAAGTATTTGGTCAATGGTTATGAAACCGTTTAGAATCCCTTATTGTATCCTTATTGCATTATTCCGTAACTAAATACAGTCAGTTATTTTTTAGTTTCTACATAAAAATGGCTACTCTGTACAAGTTATTCATTTTTAAGCATGAGGAAAAAAGCAGAAAATGTGTATTTAGCAGGAAATTACAGAGATGTTTCTAAAGCTATTAAATATATTATTAAAATGATCAATATTTAGTGTGTCCATGCCGTTGTCCTTATTGCAGTTCCTGTTTTTTGGGAGATTTGCTTTCAGCTTATTCATAGAAATCTGCAGAGACACCTCCAAAGTTCAGTCTTAGAGGTTGGTTGTATTTTGTAAACCCAAACACATTCAGTGCATTGAGTTGTGTTCTCACAGTGAAAGAATGTGCATTTGTGATCGGAAGCAAGAGTTTTGATCTGCGATATGAAGCAAGAGTGGAGCTTGGTGACAGTTTTGGTGGTCTACTATCTACTGAAAATGACTAACATACTTTATGGTTCTTTTGACTGAAAAATAAGTAAAGGACAGTCTCTGACTTTTGCACAGTACACTGAACATAGACTAGAATGCAAATAGTCTGATTTATTAATACATAACTCAATCACTACTATAATTGATTGTGGCAGCACTACTAGAAATGGAAACATAAGGATCAATGCCTGTGGTATGGAACCAACCTGAGATGAACACTCTTCATGCGTCAGTGGTGCAGTATAATTAAACTAGCAACCAGCGTATTTGCAGGTGCTGTTTTGTCTGTGCATGAACAGGTGCTGACATGCACACAAAAAGAAATTTCCAGGGCTAGGTTTGGCTAATGCTGAGCAATAGAAAGCTACTGTTAACATCTCTGTGCTTACGCATTTTCCACTTAAGGTAGCGGAACAGTATTGGCTGCCTATCAGCGTGTAGCACTGACCCAAATTTCGATCTGGCAGTTCATTAAACCAAACCCAAATGTTAACAGCTGAAATGGTGACTGCACGTTAAGAGCCATACAAGTCATGAGCTGCGGAAAATCTGCATGAAAAAAAGGCTTTTTTGTGAAGCCTCTAATTGAAATGCGAGGCTGGACATGGGGGTTGCCATTTTCTTTGCATGCATCCGCATGTGTTAATTCTACAGGCCTCAGTTGCATATTCTTTCCTCTTGGCTGGAAAGCCTGGAAACCGTATGCATGCTGAGCACACAACACACCCCCATTTACATGGAGCCCAGCCAAGACGGGTGGGAGGGAGGGCAGACTGAGCACAACCTTTACACACACACACAGAACACAGTTCACACCGCAGCCAGTGTTGCCCTTTCCTCTCCACTGACACCCTTTCTGTCTCACAGCAACCGGTGGAACTTTCTACATTGCACTGACCTCAATGTTCAACAGTCAAACTCTCACTTGCAGGACAGTGAGAATTACCTTACCAACTTCAAGCAATAGTGGCACCAAACATGCTAATGCGGCTAACAGTGAATGGAAGCTGATGGCCACCAATTAGCATGATGTTGCATATGCTGCTTGGTTGCTCTTTGTTTTATTGTTAGTAAGTTTTTTTAAACTAAAGTACTATGCAAAAGTCAGCATCCACCCTTCATTTATTTACTTTCCAGTCCAAGCCAATAATTACAAGTTTTCCATTTTTGGTATTAGAAAAAAAACAGGAAACGTATGTTTAACAGAAAATTACACAGAGGCCTCAACAACTCAAAACAATGTCACATTTTTTGTTATGTAGCAGGGCCGCTCTTTATTACAGCTTCCTTCGTTTTCGGGTGGCACAGATATTTTTCCACATCTCCAAAGTTCAGTCTTAGATGTTGTTTCCTTTGTTTGTTTCTCATGATCCAAGTAACCCACATGTTTCACATCTGAAACAAAGTTTTAAGTACTGTTTATCTGATGGCGACAATTTTGGTGGCCTAACAGGTCTTGAACAGTTGTTATGGGTTCTCTATATTATTAAATAATTCTTTGAAATCCCGTTTTGGACACTCCGTTTTTCACTTATTTCTTCTTTCCTGGAGGAAAAGTGGATTATCTTCTTTCTGACTTCCTGAAAATGAGTAACTTGTGTTTACTGGCCATTTTGACTGGAAATTAAACAAATGAAGGACAGTCTCTGACGCTTGCACAGCACTGCATTCCTTTAGGGGATCAATGCATTCAAGGTTCTCTTGTTTGGAAACTTTGAATTACAGATCGAGGAGAAACTCACCATCAGGGCATTGGAGGCACACACACTGTGAAACCCATGATAGAAGGCCGCAAACTGCCTGTAGATGGACTTATTCAGCAGGAAATCAATGTATAGCTGGACGTACTCTGCGCAGGGGCATGGAGAGAAATCACTCAGCTTAGAAATATGCAACAAGACAACTGCTAAAAATTAGGGGTGTATATTAGGGTGGAACACTACAAGCAGCTGGTGAATTATTTGCTGGTAAATAGGGAAGAACTGATTAATGTCATTGGTCCGATATTGGAATTACAGCTGAGAACTATAACTGACAGCATTGTGCTACATTTGTGCATGTATACCTGTATAATCACTAGTGGTGGGCATTTTCTTTTTTTCAACCAATGACATGAGCAGCACAGTTGATAACACCACCGCTCCCCACATGGTGAAGAGAGAAGCTGCTAAAACAATAAGAGCCTACGATTCATGTTACATTTACCTACTACTGTATATCTGATTTATCTATGTAAAATTAATCAATGATTTTTAGAGGTTTAATTCTCGTATACAGACTACCATCTGAACACAGAGAAAGCTACAATTATCACATATCAATATCAGCCACAAAAAATGTTAATTATTGTGTAACATTATCGGCCCAGAAACTTCATGTCGGTATATGTATTTGTGAGCAGTGTGTTGTTGGAGGCTAGACTGAGAGCATACCTTTTCTGTTCTGGTTAGTGACAGGGATCTTATCTCCTCCTGGTTTCAGGTTATATGACTTGACTGCTCCAAGTTCTTCTTGGAAAACCTAGAAAGATAACCAGCAGCATGAATCTCTATTCTCACCCTCCCTCAACAAATCAGAATCTTTTTTTATATTGGTAAAGCACAATCCAAAATAGTCTGCACACTTTTTCAGTGACACGTCCTGCACAGAGACATATCTGTGTGTGAGCTGCACACCTGAAAGGTTGTATAGAAGTCCTCTTCAACGTTTCCCTCATAACTGAGCAGCTCCCCAAGGCCATGAGCAAGATCCTGAAATACAAATGAACCATTGATATCAGCTCAAATAAAGAGGCACCCTCCAAACAGCACGTCACTGAAAACATGAATAAATCCAGATAAAATCCCTCTCATAAGAACGGCCAAATCAACCGTGTACTTCATTATTAACAACACATTGTGTGCTAGCAAAAAGTAAGGGCAGCAGATGCGTTCATATCTGCAACTGTTACTAATTATCTATTCGTGTGCACTCGCGATTCAACTTATTAGGAAAATGTGACCATTTTTAGGTGAAACTAAACCCACTTCCATTCTGAATAATAACTCTATTCACCATTTTACGACAGAGAGAAACACTTCATACTGATGGAAATAAGCTGGAGTCATTTTAATCCACACCACGGTGCTACCAATAAAGTGCCTTTATAACTAAAGGCCGAGAGGAAAAAACGAGCGGCGGGCTGCGATGTTTGACGTAAGCTGCAGCAATATGTGTTCTCTCTCTCTCACTCATTAAATAACCTTCAGTAGTTCTAGTGGTTCCAGCTCCGCATTACTTTGTGGAAAAAGTTTCAAACAAGGGAGCAAACAACGCCCAGAGGCAGCGGGTTATATAAGTGTGGAGGAAGCCAGAAGTCTGCTTTAAAATGGAACATCTGGTCCACTTAAGCCTGACTCGGCAGAAACCACTGAAAATGAAGAAAAACGGTGCACAGTTTTCCATGTGAAGCAACTTTTATACATAAGCAAATATGTAGCATTCTTAAAGCATATTAGCAGCATGCTGTATTCACTTGATCACTTGTTGCATGAATGTTGTTTCAAAGAGCAATACCACATTATAGTTAATGTTAGGGCACCCTCTAGTGGACACCAAAACATCACAACTGAGGATCCTAATTGGAGAAGTAAAGTAACCGGATCCCCACTTTGGGACCCCACAGCCTAATTACGTCATTTATATTCATGGAATTATGGTATTATACATGCTTCACCAATTATTCCTCAGATTAATGGCAATTATTTACTTTAGCTGCAAGATGTTACATTTTGGTAAGACCAAAGAGTTTACAGAGCACACAATGCCATACATTTTGCAAGTCAAAAGTTTGGACACACAGTTATAGAAGGGCTTTCCTTATTTTTATTATTTTTCACGTTATTCAAGACAATAATGAACACATTAAAACAATGAAATAATACATATGGATTTATGAAGTTACCAAAACAAATGTTATACAAATCAAACTATCTTTTAATCATTCTTTTGGAAATCAGCCTCTTTTGCCTTGATCATCCTCTCAGTCGGCTTCATGAGGAGAAACTTTAATGCTTTTCCAACAGGACTACAGAAGATACACATATGCTGAGGTCTTACTGTCACCGAAAAGCACTTATAGAGAGGCATTTCAGTATATACCGATCACTCTACTGAACTGGTTCAAAGTCAGAATGTGAAACATTTTAAGACTTTTAACTAGGTTGGACTTTTGCTTTGAGTGACCCTATACCTATAATCATGCTTATTTTATTAAAACAAATGATTATTTTAGTAGTGACAAAATAGAGTATTCAATAGTCATAGCACTACCAAAACATTAACAAATGTTTCAGTAGTGACTGTTGGTACTGACAATTTTAGCTCATTTTGAGCAGAATTCAAAAACACTAATCAGTACATGACTATTAAACACAGCTTTGAACAGCTGTACACACATATAATCAGAATTATATTCAATATTACACAAAAAGCTTACTTAATTGCAGAAAATATGCATTTTGGTGATTTTCAGTCTTTGGGACGCCCTTACTTCAAAACAATGGGATCTAGCTGCTCACCGTGTGGCCATGATGGACAGGGATGCAGTCTCCCTTCCTGCTCTAAAATACAGGGGTGTGGCTAAAATAACCGCCGATGAACTATGAACTCTTTGCGTTTCGGTAGTGACATAAAAACGTGTGAAATAAAATGCCTTTTTTGAAGAAGTATTAAACTCATATATCTAAATCTTTCAATTTTAAATGAAAAAAAGTAAGTTGGAATTTAAGGGTTAGGGTTCAGGACAGTCATCCCCAACAGGAAGTACCCTATAAATGATCATTTTTAATATATTTAGCTTATTAATATCTCAATTAATACCTTGGGTTTAAATAGATCATAACATAATCCTTGTAAATATCTAAGGTCTGAATGCTTCATTGTTTTTTTATTATTTATTTATTCATTATTTTCTTTTACTGTGACACTGCAGTTCAAACTAATTTTGTAGAATGGTCCATATGCAGTACCCTGCAAATCAGATACCACCCTTCATTTATTTAAGTAAATGGACATTAAGCAAAAGTTAAATAAGAAAAAAAAGCAAAAAACATGTTTAACAGAAAATTACACAGAGCCCTCAACAACTAAATATAATGCCAAAATTTTTTTTGTCTTTTTTCTTCCATTCTTTTGGGAGATCTTTTTCAATTCTTTCAATTTTTTAAAGAAATTTTATATTATACAGTTTTTGTTCTCTCAGAGATGAAGGCTTTAAGCACACAATATGTTTTTAAGATTATGAAAATGTATGTTCAGTTAATTGTGTCCAAACTGACTGGTGTTGTACAACATTTTAACCCTACAGCCGTGTGAAACAGTGAGCAATGAAATATTTCATGTTTATCATGTGATTTGTACAGGAAAGAGGATTCGGCAGCAATTTATCAGCAGCGTTTTAAACGGCATTTTGAAAAGCAGACGTTTTTCATCGCTGTCCTGTGAGCCGCAGCCACAATGCACCATCTGGAGCCGACGCTTATTAATCTCACACTGCCGCTCTGCCTAGTGACACGGCCACACAGGGCGAGCTGAAACAATACTGCAGGTGCTATTTTAAATGCTGATGACTCAGGGTGTTTCTCTTAGGCAAATACAACACTCTGTGGCACTGCTTTACTATCATGCAACGACCATATTAATGCTAAATAGCATTACCATCCTAAATAATCTACATTTCTTTTGGATTTTTTGGCAATATAACAGTTTTATAGTCATTTATGGTCTGTATACCACATAAAGTTATAAAATTATTCTAATAAGGCTGATATGGCCCATTTACCAGAGAGCTCATTTAACACATAAACATAGTGTATTTCATGTTTTCTGGTTACTAACAGATTTTCAACTACTTTTTAGCAAAAGGAAGCATTAAAGCTTTAATTATTATTTGACTACAGTTTTCAAACGTAAAAAGAAAACTTTGTCAAATTATTATGAGACAGCACTGTGGTCGCTGGGAAACAATGAATCTCAACAAAACAAGATGTTAAAACTCCAGACACTACTTTGCGTGACAGTGAGAGTTGAGATATTGCAGTGGAGGAGGGAGTCTCAGGGGTCTAGCTGTCATTGTAATGTGTGAATGATGAGGGTGGGTGTGTGTTTGAGATGCTACAGGCTGGCCTTAATGAGAGCAGATACAGTGCTAAGCAGAACGGCGTGTCACAGCTTGTGTACATACAGGCATGATCTGCTGCAGGTCGTCCAGGGTGAGGGTCGCCATGCCGACGGGGGCGTCGGGGTCACACGGCACGATGGGAGGGGTCAGCAGCTTCTTGTAGACGCAGGGAGGGAATCGGATGTCCAGGGTGATGCTGTTATACACAGCCAGGCCCATTAGCTGACGCACAGGGTTAAGAAAGTGCAACTGCACTGTGTCTGTACACACAAACCTACACACCCTTCAGACCCATCACGGATAATGCATGTATGAAAGTAGGACCCAACCAATATGAATGTTTCATCACCAATATTGATTTTAGGGTGCTAAAAATGACTCCGATAGGTTTAGTTAAACAGTGCTTTACCAACTGATATGATTGTTAGATATCAGTTGTGCAGCGTCAAATATGGCTGTTGGTCCTCATCTGTCAAAAAATGTACCATTCACTCCCCATACAGCCCAATTAAGGACTAAGCTGCAAAAACAGCCCACTTTGAATTAACTGCTTCTGAGATGTCGCAAGAACATCTATCCACCTATTCAGCGTACAGTAGTTTAGCTCCGCCCACTCACACTGAGGTTATAAGCAGTGTTTCAGCTTTGAGTGTGGCACAATACAGGGCAGCCAATCAGAACAGAGCTTGTTTATCTTAGATCTGTCTTAAAGGCACAGTAACAAAAACAGGTTGTAAAATATTTGATTAAAAATGAATTATGACCATTTTTGATGATAAAACCACACAAATGTTATAAGTGGACCTCAGAGGAAACAGTAAAGTACAAGAGAAATGTAGCATATGGGCCCTTTAAATAATATGAATGTGGTAGCTATGGGGGGCAGCACTTCCCAGCATTTTTAGGGTTTTTTTCCTAAGACATTTTATAATTTTTAATCAGTTCTCTTTATAATTTGAATCAATGTAATAAATTTTCTTTACATAAAGGTTTTCTGTGTAATAACCAGGGACATCTACACTGACATAGGCATGTTGGGCTGACGCCAATAACAGATAGTTTTCTTGTACATGTACATCTGCTGATGTCGATTCTGATGCCAATGCATAAACATCCATGTAAAATTTAAGATTAATTTGTAGAAGGTTACAAATGCATTAAAATGAATCAAATACAGACATTTTATTGCAGTACATCTGTGTAATCTAATACTTGTGCTCTGTTGGAGTACAATAAATACATCATCAAATATCACAAGAACCATCTCATTTACATATGTCCACCTCTTCAGCATTCAGCGGGTTAACTCCACCCGTTCTCACTAAGGTTATAGGTTATAAGTAGTGTATAAGTAGTGCAATACAGGGCAGCCAATCAGAACAGAGCTCAGTCTTAAAGGCACAATAACAAAAACATCTTTTAATTCTAAAAGATGAAGAGAGGTTGGAAAAGGGTCATATAAAAATTTATCATCACCTATTCTGATCTTATCATGCATGTCTAGTTAGAACATATGCTAATGCTAAAGGTTAGATCTGGATTTATTTTATATGTTTTTTTTTATAGCATTTTGTTATAAAATAGTGGTTTGTGTTCAGTCCATATTGCTGTGACTGCCAACCTAGCTGACTGAGTGAGGGTGGTAAAAACATGAGTCATATTTCCATGTTCACTGTATTATAAAACCAGCAACTTCAAAGTAATATCAGTGCTTTATGAGCAAGATTTTTGCTGATACCAATAAATATGTTAATACTGACTGATTTTATTGGCCAACAAATATACTAGCAGGCCCTATTTGAGAGTGCTGTCAGAATTCAATTTCTGATGACGTTTTATGTGTCACTACTGAGCCTTTTAAAGGGAAATTCCACTGATTTTTCAAAATTTCTGCATATTTCAATCACTGAAATGTAGTCATTCAGAATGGTTTGACTGTGGAGAAACCTGCTGAATCAGGTTTCTCTACAGTGGTGATGATACAAACCAGGGGTCCCAATGTCTACAACACAAATATTGCCATCTTTACTAACCAAAACCACCTGTGGACCTACACATGTCTTCTAAGCTGTTATACGTAAAGTTGATGATGGTAAGATAGTGGTAAATCAAAAAAGATTTCTTTGGGGCCTTACAACAATGCATGTTTCACAAAACTATCATAAAACAACATCATAAAACAATCATAAGACAATGTATTCAGAACTATTTTGTGTAGCAGTTTTCTGTGCTGGAGCTTTTAGAGGCATTAAATGCTTCAGACATCTGGTTCCACCACTGTGAACCATTCTTCCTTACTTGCATTTCACATCAAACCACTCAGAATGGCTTTGTTTACATCTTACTGACTGAATTATGCAGATTTTTGAAAGATTGATGGAATTTCCCTTTAACTCTGTAACTCAGTGAATCCATTGTGAGTAGTAAAAAAATAATCTACTTGGTGGATTACACAATAGCCTGACGCTATAGCAGCACTCTCTGATGTGGGGAAAGAACGGCCAACAGGTGTATAATACATTTAGAGGAGAATGTGAAGAGGCTGCTCTTTAAGTGCTTACAGCTGCAGCTGACAGCACGGCTCCATGTGCTCCACATATGCACACAGAGAGAAGAGAGAGAGCAGTGGAAAAAGAGAGGTTGTGAAGGATAGGCTGGAGTTTAGCGGACAGAGGGAAAATCTTTCGTGATGGCTGGAGCATCAAGACCAGCTCCGGGTCGAGACAAAACAAAAGAGACTTTTCTTTCAATATCCCCAGCTGATGTGACACATCCGCTTCTGGGCTGATGGAAGAAGGGCGTGCAAGGCTTTTTGGAGCAGAGGAGGGCTGCACTGGCAGCCTTTAATGGCCCAGGCTGGGCTGCCAGAGCCAAAGGGGACGATTAGAGGGGTAATGGCAGGACATGGCAGAGTTTGGCTGCCACTGTGTCTCCAATTCTACCTCGGACAGAGCACTGCATGAACTGCACTGCCAAAGCCACACAACCAGTCATCAGTGATGAGTGTGCAGTCAAATACTCATCATCTTGTCATTTCATTACAGCACTGTAGGTTATTTCAAGGCGTGAACGTCAGCGATCAAATGTTATTCAAGACTTTCTGTATAATATTAACTCATACACTTCAGTTTTAAACTAGACACCAACATGTATTTTACATTCTGCCTTGAGATTTGATCACTTCCCGGGCTTGGCACTGTTTAAGATTTTTTGATTCCAATACCAAGACCATAGGCAGAATCTTTATAATGGGGTGGCCATGTGAGACCTAGCAATTTTATATATAATATAATATATAGCTATAATATCTGACTACGTAACAAGCTAATCTGCTTTAGCATTAACAGGATTTAGTAAATGTTAGTAATTACTTATGTTTGATATATATATATATATATATATATATATATATATATATATATAGCTCACAGAGCAGCACTGCTGAAGTGTACTGTGCAAATTATTAACATGGTCATAATTCTATGAAAAATAACAAAATAATAGGGTTATTAACCAGTTAACCACATTTTAAAATACAGTTTCACTGTAGAAAAACTGAAAGTGATTCCATCCTCTTTCCATTACATTATGTGAAAAATATTGTATGTTTTGTTCTTTGTACTATTTATACTCTCTGCTAATTACTGTTAAAATCCTCAGATACAGTCATGTTACAATATAAACTAAAACATACTGTAATACACTAAAATTAAGATTTAGTTGCTTTCAAACTTCTTTAAATGTAGAAAGCCAATGTCAGCTTCTTCCTCAAGTAAAATTAACAAGAATAACGTTAAGCTTTTGAGCAGCGTTCACTCCCCTCTGCGACACAGTGATCACTGAGTGCTGCATCTGATCATAATAGATTGGTAACAGCCCTAATGGCAGGTTTTAACTGAAAACCGTTCACACAAAGTGGCAGAACTTTTCAGTGGTAACTTCTTCATTGATGACAGCTGACTGTCTTACTTTGTTTAACTGGGGTGGCCACACCCCTGATACTGACACTTTGACTTTGAGGCTGATTCCTGAATGCTACTTTTTCCGATATCTTCTTTTATATTATAAACCAAAATTAGGCTTGGTTTAAAACTAGGTGTTAAATTGGGGTTTCAACATGTCTTTAAATGAAACATGGTTATTTTCCATTTAGTTGCAGTTGCAGCATTTGTTTCTACTTATGTATAATGTATGATAAGTATATCCACTTATGTACTGGATTGCCATGTGCACAAATTATTAGTATTATTGGGCTTCATTCACCAATATCTAAAAATATTTTTTTTCTGAACACATCTAAATGTTTTTCATCATTTTTATAGTGTATCTGCAAATAATTTTTACAGCATGTATTTGCAGATAAATTGGTGTTATCCATTTGAAAAGCTTCCAAACTTTAGAATGGTAGTCTTTCACCATGCAGCATTAAAGGCTTTGCAATGTGAAAACAGCACTGATCAGACAGATAAACGTCACATATTTCGTTGCCTCGGCAGTGACTCAAGCAGTGGACTGATACTGTAAAATAAGCATCCCTCCTTTCCTGTGTTGAAAGACAAACTCTTTACAGGCTCCACGAATAAACGGCGCAAGGTTTTCTCTAAGTGGAAACGGGCTGTGTGTTTATGGGTTATTTAAGGCTCTAAGCAGCCGCACGCAGCCACCTATGAGCAAATTAAAGGATACAGCTCCAACCAGACGAAACTCCGAGCAGTTGTCGCACTTCCAGCTACTGAACCAGTGACACTGAGAATCCTTCACATATGAGAACATGCCTGTAAATGAAAGGTACAAAACATATCAAAGCTGCATAAAGATCTAACTCTAATTAGGTACCAGTGGCTGATTCCAGACTGCATTTAGTGCCATTGCTGAACAGTATAGTATCAGTATAGTAACAGAAACTTAATTTCAGTTTTTTCAAGTCAACATATTAATCAGAAAAGCCACTAATTAGAGGTCAAAACACATGACATCACAATTTTTGCAAATTGCTAGTACATTTCAAGTCTACAAACTGAAAACATGTTGACGACTGCATTTTATTTTGAGGTAAGAAAGTCTACATATTTTTGCTGCCAGAAAAAACCTTGTATCGCCAAAAAAGTAATTTTACAGGAGCAGGAAAAATGTACTTAACTTTCAAAGTAAGTTAACACATCAAGATTCAGTTCTAAGTCATTTTAGATTTCTACTGGTCCATTCATCATGACATCCTGACACAATGTAAACAGCTTTTCAAATTCCAAAAGACAAAAAGTGAAAAAGTGTGATACATGGTTTGTTCTGACAGTGGCAATATGCTGACTCTATTCTGAATGAAATGTGTAGTAAAATTAAATTAAGTTTACACAATAATATTTGTGTGTGTGTGTGTGTGTGTGTGTGTGTTTGTGATGACTAGATCTCAAATTAGGTACTAAGTTACTTTATTCAAATCAAAGCCCACATTTTGCAATCAACAGGAAATATATCTGTCCATTAAGAAAAACTGATCTGCAAAATATGTGATTTTTTTTAAATATATTTGCTAAATATATTTAAATTTGTCATTTTTGAATATTTAAACATATGCCAATGTATGCACATACCTGGCAGTATATTGAAATATATGCACATTTGTAGATGAAATAATAGCAACAGAGTAAAGTTTATTATTTACATATATGTCATGCTTATATGGAAATATATAACAAACTGGACAAACATTTTGAAAATCTATGGAAAATAAATTTCCTTTGCATTTGGCTAATTATGCATTAAACGCTGTACCTCACACACTTTTAAAGTGGAGCTGGCTAAAGCAATTAAACCATTTTTTAAATTGGATCTGGCTAAAGCAATTCTAAAAAGCAATACACCGGAAGAGAGTCCTCATAGACCTCTGAGCATGTGCAGAGCACCATGAGGACTAAAGCTGGTGACATGCCCAAATAAGGAATTCTGGCTTTAGGCTGGTTTTGTCTATGGAAAAAATTAACAACTTTTTGAAAGAAAATCCCTCGTGGTTAAAAAAGCGGGCCCAAAGCGGATTAGGTTTGTACATTTTCCGCCCATATGTCACTAGATTCACAGAATTATGAATATGAATATTGCTACTAGAGGTGGGAAAGATAATCGATTCTTTGATGGATCATGATTCTCTCTTAAAAATTCTGAACTGATTCACAAAACGTCAAAGTCAGATTTTATAAAGGCTCTGCATTTTCCCTAATGTAAAATTTTAATGTTAAGATGCAAAGTGTTAAGTTTAAGGATTTACTAAAGAATTAACTGTATTACTGCAACATACAAAGTGAAAAAAAATGTTATCAGAATGTCTGTTAAAAGTTTCAAATGTCCACATTTAAGCTAGAACTGCTATAATTAGTTAGATGGTAAAACAGGCCTAAAGGCTTACTAAGTGTACTACATTCAAATGTGCAGACTACATTCAAATTCAACTACGATAACACTAAATGTTAATGAAAAATATAGGGAAAAAATGTAATGTAGTCTGCAAAAATTAAAAATTGAGATGCATCAAAATGCATAGAAAATCATTTTACAGTCACATCTTGGCATCCACAATTGAAATCAGACTGAATTGTAAGGAGCTTGGAGACTCCCACCCCTTACTACACACATGTTGCAGGCAGTGCAAAACCTCTGCAAATTGAACTGAGTAGGAATTAATCACTACGTGAAAGCAAAGCTACTATTGTTACTAAAGACTACTTCAACACTATCATACAACAAACTCAGCACCTAACCATAGGGGCAAATTTCAAAAACAGCATTCATTTTTGTCATAGAGAACAACGGCAAAGGATTCATTCATATACTAACAGCAAACTACACAATGATGAACCATCCTCAGAGGTCTATCTTTTCACTTGGTATCATTCTCAGTGCTGCTTCTACCACATTAGACTCACAAGCCAGACTGTCTCCTATCTGGCGCAATTTGATGCTTAACGTGACCAAGAACTGCCTACTTTGAAAGGAAAGGGCTGTTTCACTTGCCCACAGCTTGTCCAACTACATAATGTTACAGCAAATCAGAATGGAACTGACAAAATCCTGATTATTTGGTGTACTGTAGATGCCAAATGCTCCATGTACATGTGAGTGGAGCATTTAAGCCTGAGAGTACTACTATACTGAGTAACCTTTTAAGCTGAATCAGAAGTAACCTACAGGTTAATTTTTCAGTAGAGTGCTTCTGGATGGCAAGCTAACTGAAGGCTTTCTACCTTAGTATTAAAGTGATTAAGCAGAAAAAAACAGATATGACGTCTGCTTAGAATTTTCTTGTCATCACATTCAAGCCTGAATCAAGTCACGAGTCATAAGTGTTCAGGCCCAGGCTGAGTCAGTCAGTGGTTTGAACCTCTGCCGTAGACGTTCCCCATCAGGAATACAATGTGGCAAAACTATAGGAAATGGAATCTCTGTGGTTTTATAGTAGGCCAATCTGTTACGCAGGATAAGAAAAGAGTGAGTAATGCTGTGGTTGAACTATAGCTCTCTCGGCTTTCTCAATGAACACAAATCATGGTTAAGCACATGCGCAGAGGCATTTGTTCTAAGCATGCGTTTGGCAGAGGGCCACTGAGACCAAAAACTGTTTGTCCTGCATGTCTCACCATAGTCGGTGTGAAAAATCTGTCGAATCAGGAGAAGAAACCACTCCTTTGTGAGTCCGCCCATGTCCAAGCCTGCTTCCCCAACAAACGTCACTTTTAGCTTTTTCTTCAAGTCTGCTCTCTTTCTCGAAAGCTATTAAAAAAAGAGAAGACATTTATGGTGGGGCCATTTTTCCAAATTAAGCCATAGCCAGACTTAGAACTTTCCAGACCAGACTATACTTGCTCTTGGCCAAAAGTACCCTTTCTCAGTCTCGGAAAATAAAATGTTGACTACAGCGCTGCTTTGACTAAGGCAAAAGAACCACTACATAAGTCTTATAGTTCTGTAAATATTTCTCAGTTCTTCAGAACTTAGTGGTAACAACTGAAAGGAACAGACAGGCGCTGTCCATGTTGCTGTGTTCACATACTTGGAGTGAGTGCTATTACCTCATCCAGTGAGTCACTGACCAGCTGCAGACGCCTCACTTTAATGTTGAGAAAGAGCAGACTCATATCCACCCTCTGTCTGCGAGAAACCTTGTCCACCAGGGTTTGCTGTAGCCGAAATAGAAAGCCAAGTGTTTGGTCAGTCAAGTGTTCACATGCTGCAGCCTCGTTTACATAATGTCACACCATGGCGAATTCTGCCTCGTAATATACTGTTAAATGTTTGCTTCTCATGAATGCCAGTGATATTTCTAACTATGTTAAAAGACCTATAGCCTACATGTTGCTTGTATTTCATTTTCCTAAGCTCCATTTATAACGTGTATGGTTTTATATACCACAACAGACATTATACATTTTGACATGATGTCTCATGCTATTTTGTTAGTTTAACTAACATTAAATGATTTGCTGTCCTGTATTGTTTAAAATCAGTTCAGGCTTAAACACTATTTTTAACTTCAATGTGAATGGGCAGGGTTTAACTGCTGTAGGCATATATATATATACTTTGAAGATACATATGCGTTTCTTTTTGAGTCTGTGCATGTGACGTTAATACATCAAGACATATGACGTGGTCTAAAAACACCCTGCCAGATCCATCCCATTACCCCCGACTTTTAAATGACACCTCTGACAGCACAGTATTACTGTTTCAGGAAAAAACATACTATATTTTAATATGTTTTTTCCTGACTCAGTAATACTCAGTAATACAATTTCAATTAAAAAAATATTACACAAGTACAATTTTCATAGATGTGCACTTGTCTCTGTATTTTCAAACTACAATAATTTCTTTTTGAGTGTAGTTGTAAGTAAAGTAATCTAATTCATTTTTTGGATAACATTTCATTCTGTTCAGTTCAGCATCTGGACTTCTTTACTGGTGTTCATGCCTCTCACTTTAAAGCTTTAGCATTATATTTCAGACAAAAAAGAAAAGAACAGCACCTAACAGACTTTATTTCCCATGCTGACAGATGTTGAGTGTACTAAGAAGTTTCACTGCGGTTTTACAGAGAACTCTGTACTAAAGTAATTCAGCTTGAGTCATTATTTCATTAAAATATCAATACGTCTCCTTGAGTACGAGAATAGACTACTCTACCCACACGAAATATAATCAGCAAATAACCTTTCACAACAGCTTTGCTTTTTTGTGTTTTAAGGCATTGGTGATTATATCTAACTCAGTGTGTTGGTTCCTAGGTTTGGTTTTACAATGCTTCCATGAGGCTATGATGAGGAGAACACAGGAGAGTGTGTTCATTCCCTTGGTGCTCTTAAGGAGATGGCTGCCGACACTCCTGCCAGACTGAACTGTCTTCTGTCAGACAGCCACGTGTCTGTTTAGCCTACGCTCTCTGGTCACATATGTTTGGGAGGGAGTCTGGGAGGATTCCACCAAAAAAAAAAAGTCTCACTTATGCAGCCCCACCCTGCACAAGACTGTTATCAGAAGACTTTCCATGTAGTGCTGAAAAACCTCAGTTCATGAATTACTCACGTGAATAAAATACTACATCAACACTTTATGTGTCCAATTATTGCCAAAAGTAAGTAAGTAAGCTGAAATACAACAATTTCGGTAATGGAACTGGTGTACACAATCCCTCCTGCTTAACTTGATGGATTGTTTTTTTGTTTTTTTTTTTTATAATGACAGATTGGGTTATCCCATATATGATTAATGGATTTGTACCATTGCTTTCAGTAACCTTGTGGGACTTTTTTTAGAACAGCTGAAAACTTGTGGTTTTTGAGAATCACAGCACTTCACTGAGGAGCCTCCAAGCACAGAGGGCTTAGATAAACACTACAGTCTCAGGACAGTCATATAGACGGCCATAGAGCAAGCATCAAATCCCAGGAGGCCCTTACGGACCAAACAGGCTTAATCTTTAGTTTCCACAGTAATGTTCCCTGCACATTCTGGCAGCTCCACAGCGCAGCTAACTACAGAAGAACTGCAGACAGTGGCAGGCAAATGCTCACCCTGGCCATGCTGATCATCTGCTGCTCAGAGTCCCTCTGGATGATGGCCTTCTTCACCACTGTTGACAGGATGAAGGGGAACTGGCAGAACGTGAACCTGCACAGACAGCAGAAGGTCAGATCAAAAATCTGTTCTGTAAGCAACAGTAGAGTTCTCATAAAGTTTTTGTTTTTAGGGCTATAATAATGAAACTGTCAAATATGCTGCAAAGTTCCACTTATACCACAAATCAAGACGCTAAAAGCTTTTTTTGGAACAATGCCCTAAAACCATCCTGCCAATCGGATGGCTTGTTAAAGAGCCATATGAGATAAGTAAAAGTTCTATTCCAAGGTACAGTATTGTGTGAACGTTTCAGGTACTTACAGCACCTATTTTTAGACATCTATTTATCTATTTTTTATGACAAGTATTTACTTACAGTGTTATGATAAATAAATATTAATGCAATAAGTAAACAACATCAGTGCAATGAGTAGTACTTTTATGTAAAAATGCAAAATTCTAAAACATTCTGGTGTTAATATGCAGTTTTAAATGAAAAAAAATCCCAGATTTTCAATGTGATCTCAGACCTGTGAGACCACATGTGGCAAAAAACAATTTGGTCCAATGTCCAGTGCTCAAGTACTGAAAGGACTGATGAAGAGTGGTTAGCTTAAAACGCCACTGCAAGTGGTGAGACTACATTTTCGTTGCTTTCTGAAAGATACCAACCGTGTGCTGATCTTATTTTGTCTCACCAAGTGCTGAAGGTAAACACAAGAGGGAGCTCGCTATTTTCCACAAGCTTTTTAGACTAAAGACTAAAGAAAACACCTCGAGCGGAAAGAGCTTGGGTGCGTGTGGGCAGAGAGAAAATTGTGCAGAAAGGCGCTCGGTCAGAATGATATTTTCGTGCCACACCTGTTGGAATTTCCATGAGCTTGCCACGTCTGGTAGTCTTCCATGAAGTCGATGTGGTCCAGTGTCAGATTATAGAAATCGGAGAAGGGGATGATGGGAGGAGAAGAAATGCTGTTTGCAGCATCTGAGGGGAGAGAAAGAAAACACTGCAATTGATCATCCTTAACTCCTTAAACCCTCTATAACTAACATTGCATTGCCAGTTTATTAGATACACTTTGTAGCCAGACTAGGTGGCCATTTTTCCAGGAACACTGACCAAAAACAGCACTGTGCAAAAATCAGAAACCTCACTTCACTTATTTAATTTCCTGTCAAAACAGCCATTTCCAACTTAGTCCAACTTAGTCATTTTTTAAGATATATTCATGAGGATATTAGACAACAGTTAATCCACTTGCATAAGGAACAGCAAAGTCAAAAAGTAAAAAAGAAGTGAAAAAAACAGGAGTTTCCAAAAGTAGAGTTCAAAAAATGATTACAAGATATAGAAAAAAAAGGACTCTTAACAACCGTCTAAGAGCTGGGGACCACCAAAACTGTCAGCACCAGATAAACAGTACTTAAAGTCTTTATCTTTGAGGGAGAGGAGAAAATCAAGCTCCACTCTGGTTTCAGATCTGAAAAAAATCCACAGGCCTTCCACTGTGAGGAGACAACTCAACACTATGGGTCTCAAAGTATGTGTAGCTGTTGAGAAAAGAAAACAGACAAAAAAGAAGAACATTTACAAATCAAAAAGAAGCTTCTCAGAACAGTAGACTGACCACCCCAGAGTCCAGACCTGTCGAAAATGTGTTTGGGATTACTGGGATGGTGAGTGGCAGAAAATGGAACACACTTCTAACACTAAACTATGGAGGTGTCGAAAAATATCCCTGCAAATTTCTCTGAAAAAACTGAATGCAAGTCTTATGGAAAAAATAGAAGCTGTAAAATGCAAAGGGAAATGCGAATTCAATAAATGAAGGGTGGTCTCTGACTTATGCATAGTACTGTAGGTGCACTTTGTAATGTAGATGTACAATTACTGCCTGTGGCTCTTCTGTTGCGGCAAAGTTTGACAGCCTCCTTCTGTGTGTAGGTGTACACTCCGAGACTATAGCTCTTTTTTTCCATGCATAGTTAGTATTTATCATGCTGTATCCCTTCATCAGCGGTTAGTCTCTGACTAGAGGACCACTGTTGGCTGACATTTTTGATTAGCAGACATTTTTCAACCCAGCAATGAACTGAAGTGTCACAAAACCCAGCAGCACTGATACGCTACATCACACACCAACATGTTATTGATACTGCTGAAGGATCGACTCCCGGTAATATCTGGTAAGAAGTGGTCATATTGTGGTCCCTTTCCTTTCACAGACAGGGCAGAGGTGGGGCTGATTACATTCTGTAATTGTACACCTATAAAGTGCACCTATATGGTAGGTGTCACCTATAAAATGGCCAGTGAGTGTAGGTACAAGATAAACTATATATTAGGTTCACAGTAATTACTGAGTAACTCAGAATAGCTACTGAACAATAAGCCTGAAATTTAAAGGGGTTAACACAGTTATAGCAGAATCAGCTTCTTAATATTAAGTATCTTATTCAGTGTTTACTCACAGACTTTCATACTTACTGAGCAGCGAGAGGACTTTAGTGGCAGACGGGATCCACCAAGAGCACTTGGCCATGGGCGGCAGCTCCTCTGGTTTGGCAGGGAACAGCCGTGTGGTGATGAAGAGCTGTAGGCGTTCCACCAGCTGCTTAAAACGCTTCTGAGATAGTCTGAGAGATGACATGTCTCTTCAGTCAAACATACCAATACAGCACTGAAAAGCAAAGGCCTTATTTTCATGTGAAATTAACCTCTTTAACTCTAAGGGCCTGTATGTGGGCCCACTAGGGCTGGCACAAATAATTCTCACAGCCTACTCAAGTATTCATTTGTTATGTTGGTATTCGCCTTTTGTTAACCCTTTAGACCTCAACAGAATTCTAGAACACTAGAACTGTGGATTCCTGATTTTCTCCCACTGTTTAAAGCAAAACATTTTATAAAAAACCTGGGGGAAAATGGCAATTACTTAACAATGGACGTGATAGTTGGCTATAAAATATCATGTCATACTCATTCACTGCTAGATTTAGTGACTTTTTGGATCCTTTTAGAGGCTTTTTGGGCAAAACGTATTTACTTTCCATTGAAGAGAGTCTCCAGTACTGCCCCGCGAGTGAGAGGCATACTTCTTTCTGCGTCTGCTCTGTTCAGTGAATGGCAGAGAGGCGGAGCAGCACATTCAGTCTGCACAGCAGCTGACACAGACGTGAGTGAGCTGTGCATGTTCAAACAGTGCTGCCAAGGACAAAACACTAATCTGTATTGTTTGGCCCTCCTTTGTTTTAATTTAAACAATTTGATTTGATCATTTTCACCGTTATCACTGTCTCATCACTCACTGCCACACTGAAAATGGAACATCTTGTGGTTTGTCAGAAAAAAATAAGAAAAATATTCTGTCGCTGCTAACTTTCTCTCTGAGTGATCATTTTACATTTAAATATAGCTGAAATCACAGCATAGCTATTGTCTTTAAATGATGTCTATGGTGATTTTGTCAGATGACATTGTTATAAAATGTGAATTTTAGCAGTGCAGAGAAGGAGGGTGGAAATGGCATGGAAATGACTGCTGGTTAACATGTAGTCTTAATGGGCTGCGTTTCAATCATTATTTCATACTCGTCCTGTTGTCTGACAACAGAAACAGAAAAATATATAAATGAGAACAGCTTTATTAGGAAATCGGCTGCATTAAAATACAGTATATGTGAGCACAGAGAGCAGGAGAGAAGCAATTAGATGTAAATTCCGGACACCATCTGACACTAAGCAGAATGCAAATATGACATGATGACATCAGAAACATGCTAATTAGCACATAATGTCATCTAGTGACATTTAGTGACTTCTCGAGCATGCTTTAGCTACTTTCCTTAGAAAAATATCAAACGGCAAACAACATTCAAAGAGAAACATGAATTTGTTTGGCTGTAGTTTTGATGTTTGAATGACATTCAAGTGATGAAGCTGAGCATGTGCTCACTCACTCATCACTAGCCACAGAGAGACGGAGAAAAAACAGAGATAGCGGGCTAGCTATTTGGTTTAGCTGATTCATGTAAGACAAGAAGGGCCATAAATCTAGTATAAAACATTAAAATTCACATTAGTACAAATTTAGTATAAAACATTGAAAAACCCTGCTGAGTCGTCAATCCTGAACGAGATTTAGGCTCGTCTACTAGAGTTATTTCACTCATGATGGAAGTTAAAGTTAGCAGTGGAAGAACTTGGCTATCTATTCAGTAAACCAGCTAAACTGACTATGAAAGCACAACGCTAAACAAAGACTCATTGGTCTCCTCCTTAACTTTACAGTAGCCTACAACTGTCTGACAGCATCTTTGGAACAAATGAACATATTTGAAGTAAGTTTAACTATGAAATGTAAATATTATTGTGTTTAAGGGTGGAATTGCAAATGAGCACTCAAGTACTGTTCGGACACACCAACGATTATTCTAAGCCTGTAAAATGCTATTCGGGCCAGCCCTAAGGCCCACACTTTCCCTACTCTCAGGACTACATGACTTAAACATCAGTTACTGAATAACAACTCTTAAGAAGTGAATAATAAGCCAACAGTTCCTTTTGCTGTTCCAGCAAACCAACTCAAATGAACACATTTTCTGCAACTGCCATTTCCACACATTTCCACATTCAAATTAAAATAAGAACTGAAAATGTAAAGGCCTTCTATTAACATCATTGCAAGTAATCATGCTTAATTACCTAAAATAGCTACTGGAGTTGATTATGTAAGCAAATGTAAACAGTCCTATAAAAGATCCCCTTATAATAGAGGCTTTGCTGTAGTTATGGTTTTACTTTTGCGAATTGCTTCCTTAAGCAGGCTGGACTGTGAATGGTGGTGACAGAAGGGAACGTTTCAGACTCACTTCTTAAACCAGTGCATCAGGAAATGGTGGTCTGCTTCAGCCAGCGCCGCGATTTGCCTCAGTAAGTGTGCATAGATGACATATGTGGCTGTGCTGGTGTACTGAGGGTTCTGCAACAAAGAGGAGCCTTTTTCAATGCACTTCAAAAAGGAAATATAACTTTTCGTCCGGGAGCCGAGGAAGAAGTCTGGCTTCTAATAAAGAGTGGCATTTGAGCGGAAACCAGCCATCCCCACTCCAGCATGACCTCATCGGTTCCTCCAGCTCAGAGAAAGGCAAATAATACCAGAGGCTGACTCACATCAGCGGCAGACGCATCAGCCCAATAATTGCCGCTGCCTTTCGATTTCACCCTGTCTTCAAGAGATATGTAGGTCAGGACACCCATCAACAGCCCGAGGACGACTAGCATCAGAAGCTCATTACGGAGCAGACTGACCTCAGAATATGAAAACGATCAGCTCTCATAACCATAACATTCAAACCCATTCCACTTCAAAAAAATGAGCTCATGAATGGACCAAATCAAAACACAACGTTCTAAAATGGATCCAAGACCCAGCAAATCAAAAACTGTTTAAAGACACTCTCTCTACGTCTTGCCAGTCTTTCCCCAGACGTGAAGCCCAATGGCTGTGGCCTTATTTGGACAACCCAGAACCAGTCTATGCTGGTCATGTGTGAAGTAAACACTTAGCTCATAATATATCTGCAGCCGCTCTGACTGCAGCTATGGCTGGAGTCAATGGGCCATGTGGTGAGAGAGGAGATCAAGAGTTTCCTGCCTAGCCTCGACTCGCCTCGCCTCCCGCTCAGCCTGCGCCGTTTTCACAAAGGCCAAGTTTAATCCAGATTAGCCCGATTGTGCTGCACATATGCACATCTATAAGCGTGCGCAGATAACCGTCTCGATTTAAAGAGAGGAAATTACAGCTATTACTGAAAAGTACCACATGTCCTTAGGTTATATAACGGAGACGGTTTTCTGCTCATAGTGTGCTTTCGGCCTTACTGGCCAACTCAGTTGGGCTAGATCATTATGATAATCTATAACATATAGTTTAATGGTCATAAACAAAGCTTATGTAAGCAAACATTACTGAAACTATGTCAGAGAATAAGAAAACAAAACTGGTGCTACAAAGTAAATAAATAAATAAATAAATACCTGCACAAGAATGAAATAAGCCCTCAGGTCATCTTTTGTCCTCGGCCTGAAAGACATAAAGTTTCAAACTTTCAAACTTTCCCACTAAAATGCTGCTTTCTGCAGGTTTAATGTCCTCTTTAAAAGGTTCAGTGAGCGAAAACAAAACAGCACTCACCCCTTCCATTCCCTTAATAAGCTATTAATGATTCCCTTCAGGACCGATTTCTGAGTGTCTGGGGGCTGTGAATTAAAAACATTCAAAACACTCTGTCCAGATCGACATTCTTGAAGTAATGAAGTAAATATCAACAACAAAAACACACAATAGCTCTCTGTGTTCTCATAACAAGAGACATGACTCTTTTTTATTTTTTTTTGGGTAAGACCATCTGTTTACGCACCGTGTGAAGTAAGGCATCATAAACAGCATTGACAAATTTGGTGTTTATTCCTGAGTCTTCAATAGTGTTGTATGGAGCATTTGCTTCCTTCTGTGGATGATAAAATAGAAAGTCAGTCTCATTACCCACCAATATATTCAGCAATCATTTACTTGGCCTCAAATACTGAATCTGAAAAATCTTGCTGCTACAGAAGTATTAAAACTTTCTCAGAGCCAAAACAGCATAATTATTTCTAGCATGGTCTTTTTTCAGCTGCTTTGAATGTTGAAATAAATGATGAAGCGGACGCTAAGTAGTTCACCAGTATAGTAACTATACGCAGGTGTTCTTTGTTTTACTGCTCTCTGAATGAGCTCATTCATTCATCTGGAAACCAAAAAGTAACGTTTGGTTTTCCCCTTTTCCCAATTTTCACCGTTACTGTTTCACATGGGTCCAAATTCCAGCAGCTCTCATTAAAAAAACATTAGTGCAATTCAAAGGGCATGTATTGGACCTACTCCACATTATATTTCTGTGTACAGTATAGCAGTATAAATCAGTGAATAAAAGTTCACCACACAGTATTGTGAAAAACTCAAACTCTCAAAAGAGACCAACCCTTCAAGGATTTCATTTCCAGTCAAAACAGCCATTGATTAGAAGGGATTTATTTTTCAATGCCAAAAAAGGAGAAAGAATATATTTCACAGACAATTACACAGAAGCTTCAACTAATAAATATAATAGCAAGTTTTTCAGTATTTAGTAAGTCTACCATTTATTAGAGTTTCCTTTCCAGTTCAGTTTTTCAAAGAAATCTGCAGGGATATTTTCCACACCTCCAAAGCTCAGTCCTACACGTTAGTTCTATTTTCTGCTTCTTATGATCCAATTACCAATTACAAATTTAGACTTATCCTTTCTTTCCTTTTCTCAGTAATGGCTTCTTCACAGCTACTCATCCTTTCAAAGACTCATAGTGTTGAGTGTTCTCTCAGTGGAAGGATGAACAGAAACACTTGTGGATATTTTCAGATCTGTAGGAAGAGTGGAGCTTGATTTTCTCCTCTTTCTCAAAGATGACAGCTTTAAGTACTGTTTATCTGGAGGTGACAGTTTTGGTGGTCTACCAGCTCTTACACGGTTGTTAAGAGTCCCATTTTCTTTACAGTCCCTGTATCTTTTAATCAATTTTTCACCTTCAGGTTTAGAATTCCTGTTTTTCACTTATTTTTCTCTCTCTTTCCCCTTCACTTGTAAGTGGATTATCATCTCTAATCTTGTAATATTTTATGCAGCCATTTAAGATGCACATGAGAAAGAAATTTGCAAGGCAGCTAAGGTGTGTTCAGGTAGTTGCTTGTGTGAATGTTTTGAAAGAGAACACTCTTTCAGTGACTCTTTTGAGAACTTTTAGTGAGGTCCATTTTGCAAAAGAATGACTTAAATCTCATACTGGATAAGCTAACTGCCAAATATGAGTATGACTTTCAGTTTCTCATCTGTCAGCTTTTTTTTCTTTTTTCTTTTTATTTAAACAATTTATTGCTCCTTTTTACCCATTCATATCTGTAATGCACCTTTTCATTTGTTCCTTTCGCATCAATTCAGTTTTCTATAAACTGCTATCACTGTTCCATAAACTGACTTGACTCCAGTTACCCTGTTTAAATTTATTTACTTAATCATTTAACTATTTATTTATATGTTTGTGATTATTTTCAGCTGAAAATACATGGTGAAAATGTTACTAAATCAGGTGATAGTTTTGCATTGATTTTATGTAACTTATTTCTCTCTCTCCCTCTCTCTCTCTCTCTGCTTGTGTCTTTTTCTCTCTTTCTTTTCAGTCCTCACTGATAACTGAAAAAGCATGTATAAAAAATACGCTACAAAAGGCTGTCTCTACCAAACCCCAGCTAACGGAAAATGTAGACTACTCACACAGTTAACCAGACAAAATACAGACAAATATATGTCAATTTCCTGATTACATTGCATGATACTTTGCCATAAGTGTGCAAGTTCAGAGTGAACTTTCTCATGCTTTCTGTAATATATTATGATTAGAGAGCACAACAACTTAATTTCTAAACACTACTATAGCCAACTAAGGAGCTTGCAGCCTAAACTAAGCAACTACTAGACCTAAGCTTAAGCATGCTCATTTAGCTAGCAACATTAAGAGTACTCCAAATAAAAACAAATTTCAGTGTTTGCGTTTTACAAGCATAATCTGTTAATTACTCATTATTCATAAACTGCCACATTTTTATCATAGCTATGTTATATGTTAGCATATTGTATTTGTGTTGCATACCTGAACATCACAGGAAGCCAAAGTTGCTGTGAGTACAGAGATAAAGAGAATGGGCAGTTCAGTCAAACCATGAGGTCATCTGAGAACTGCTCATTGCTCATTGGGTAGTCTTGTTCCTTTTACCACGCAGAATCTCATAAAACCCTTCCAAAACTATCGAGGACCTTACTTACGGTCACAACGGGCAGTGACCATGAACCAATAAGGCAATGGCGGATACCAACGGTTGCTAAACAGTGAAATAACATGGCACTTGGTAGATTTTGATTTGCCATAATACAGTGACACAATTCACAGAAAACAATCACATTTCATCTTCATAAAAAATGTGGCATAATAAATATTCTATCCCCATTTGATTGGGTAAGTCTATGATACCTGTGGCGACATCCCAGATAAGGCCACTGCATTATCAGATTGGCGCTGCTAGCCCTTTTATATTTCATGAATGGAGATATGTGAAAAAAACCCTCCTGAAACTATCGAGGACTGGACCTCGAAGTCCTCAAAGTTAAGTACGGCCATGCTTTGGGAGCAGATTTTATTGGGAGGACAGATTGGAAGTGGTGGTAAAGAGTGGTCAAATTTAACACTGAGCTGATGTTATACTTTCTTTTCGACTGGAAATTAAATCAACAAAAGGGTGGTTTCTGACTTTTTTATGTGCATAGATTTAGATGGAAGTACTCCAGAAAAAGACTTTAAGCAACATGAAACAAATCCACCGAAATGACTATTACAACACTCTTGCCACACTAAAGCTTAGTGAAAAAAACTTTGGACTACATATTTGGGTCAAACACACCTTAAAGGCAGCATTGAGTTCCAAGAAGGAGTCAAATGTGGTCAAGTAGAAATCATGGACTTGCTTCCAATCACCTGAGATAGTCGCCTTTTCAATGTCTTCCCTGGATTCATCCAAACAAGTACAGTGAAGCATGGTTTAGTGTGAGTAAACTATGGCAAGAAGAATGAAAAGGGGTGTAATCAGAGGGTACTGAAAGTATGGTCCTTACTGAAACTCTTTGGCAGTTTTGGTGCGGATGGGTATGATGGGGTCTGAGGCAAAGCGAGCTTTAACTTCCGGAGGCAAGACGTCAATAGAGATCCGCTGCTTCTGTCTAACATCTGGACAGATCGGGGGGAGTTCTCTCACTGTAGACAAAAAAACAAACAAAAGAGTGTACAGTGCAAGGATACAGGCAGACATATATATATATATATATATATATATATATATATATATATATACATATATATATATATATACAAAATAGGCAATATGACAAATATCTGATGTAATATTACATAAATAAAATATAATGACATCACAATAATTCAAGATTGCAATTTTCATTTTTCTGAGGTTTGATAAGTTGGAACAGATAATGCACATGTAAAACATTTTAAAATGCTACCAAAAATTAGCACCATTATATTTTTTGAGATGGCACCAGTTCATTACCAGGTATCAGTACTGTACCAATATCAGCAGAAAATGCTGAATTTGATATCAAAAGGAAAAAAAAACTTTACTCCTGAAACAAAACTAGCCTCAAACAACACTCTGTGATATGATGTTGTTAGTTGTCTATTTCCTCTAGTAGTGTAGTGTTTGAGAAGTTTGAGCATCATACTTTTAGGTAGACTATAATCTTAAGTGAAGTGCTCGGTGGATCAGTATGTGCCAGTTATTTAAGGTTTCGATAACAGTATTGGAAAAGCGATTTACATTAGTAGTTTCAGTCATGTTTCAAATTAAAATGAAAACGCAGCAGACCCTCTCTAACTGTAGAGTCCATTTAATTTTGCTTTGTGTTCAAGACAGTGGACATAAACAAACTGCTATTCTTTTAGGGTTAGCATAGGCCTAACATGGTTCCAACTTAAATGGTGCAGAAGTTACCTTTAAGCACCTTTACAGGTACAAGAACGTAACTGCTGCTCCATTTAATGTGGAACACAAAATTCAAACAAAAATCAGTCAGTCAATAAATCAATCCATCAATCCATCCATCCACTTTAGATCCATTTAAGCATCTAAAACAGTTTAATGCACATTACTTTCTCATACCACAATGTTTTTTTCTCAATGTTTTATTGCTTATCATTACATCCCATTGAACACAGCCTGTTATGCTCACAAGGACTCCTGGGCTAAACCTCTTTGTAATCAAACATGCAGTTGGTCAGTGTTCTTTAAAAACAGACATACCCATGATATGCTCAAAAACGTATAACGTGACCTAAAGTATTACAATACCCACAATAACCAACACTCACATCAGCAATCTTGCAAAGCATTCAAAAATCTGCCATCTTTTATAACAAATTGAGAGTTACCCTGGACATGTTTTTCCATTACATAAATGGAAAAGAGGGTGTGTAAGTGCCAGGGCTTTCACTGTACAAAACACTGGTTCCTCTATCAGGAGCCTCTATGCATCCTGGTCTCCTGGTGACAATTAAGTGTTTTCCCAATCCACTAAACATTTTCTCTAGTTCAGCAGAAGCTCATCAAGCTTCAGCTCACGATCCTCCACAACATTAGAAAACTGCAAATGCTAGGACTCTACTGAAGAAAACACTAGGGCCAGAAGACAACACCTGACATTAATCAGTGACTGTGACATAGTCCAATAACACGGGTTGAGTCATGTGTAGATGGATGATTCCACAAGAAGAACAGACTGGATTCACATGAATAACATAAATTACATCAACACAATTTTGTCTTTCAGTTACAGGCGTAATGATGTAATATGTTTTGTTCATGTGGGAATGTGAATCAAGTAAATTCAAATGCATCATTTTTCAGTACAGTTTAGGAAAGTAACACTAGGGCTCGGTGCAGAAGTACTTTTATGATACCGACTGTCAAAAAATTCCATTTCAAAAAGCCAATAAGTGTGCTTATTCCAAAATCTAGACTCCTGATTTTCTGTCTTAAGTTACCTTCCATATCTGTGGTATTAAGATCAGTGCTGCTTAATTAGTCTGTAATCTGTTGTGGTTAATAAATGCACCCACTTCCATCTATTTTTGTACATTAACAGTGGTTTATTATTCTGGGATTTAGTTTTAGTATTTAAGTGCATATATAATGTTCTTATGGTTTCCTTAATTACAACTGCTTCTGTTTTTCTTTTCATTTTAAGTAATTTAAAACACACGTTTAAAGCATAAATTGACAAAAATAAACACAGCCATCAGTTCTCATCACTGTCCTCCAGCACAACTATCCAGAAAACTGCCCTCTTCACTCAGAAGTAGTCACCAATCAACGTCGGCTCAAGACACTATCATTAAACAAAATTACATGATGGGACTGCTCTCGTTCGCTTCGCTAGTTTGACCATCAAAGGCACACAAAGGACAGCAGCTACAGATACTGTAGAGTTCTGAGAAGAAACAACAACAGGCAGCAGACACGACAGAAGCTAGTGCTGGGCTATATCGTCTATATGCCTGTACACTACTCTCAGTGGCACATAACAATACTGATAACAAAAACCTGGTTAATTGCAATGTATGCTATTAGCCAAGGGCTTCAGATTGTTCTTTAAAAAGGAAATGTGTTTTCAAACTATTGGTGTTATTTGAAGTGAAGCAGAAGAGAACAAGGAAGTCCAATCAAAACAGGCTACGTAAAGACTCACTCATTATCTTCATTAATGTAAGCTTAGACAGTACTGTACAAAAGCCAGAGACCACCCATCATTTATTTCATTTTCAGGCAAAACCAGCCATTAAGCACAAGTTATTCATTCTGTCAGCTTTAGGGAAAAAGCAGAACAAACCGATTTAGCAGAAAATAACACAGAAGCCCCAGCAACAAAAAAATAAAAATCTATAATTTTTTCAGTATTTAGTGTGTCCAACTTTTGCCTTTATTACAGCTTCCACTCTTTTCAGGAGGACTGCTATCAGTTTTTCAAAGAAATCTGCAGAGATATTTTTCCACACATCCAAAGTCTTATAAGTTGGTTGCACTTCCTGCTTTTTACACCCAATGATGCTGAGGTCTAGACTCTGGGATGGTCAGCCCATTGTTTTGAGAACACCAGCAGCTTCTTTGTTTGATTTGCAGATGTTCTTTCCTCTGTTTTCTCAGTGATGGCTTCTTAACAACTACACATCCTTTCAGACTCATAGTGTTGAGTCGTCTTCTCACAGTGGAAGGATGGACAGAAATACCTGTGGATATTTTCAGATCTGAAGTAAGAGTGGAGCTTGATTTTCTCCTCTCTCTCAAAGACGGAACTTTTAAGTGCTGTTTACCTGATGTTGGCAGTTTTGGTGGTCTACCAGGTCTTGTTAGTAACATTTACATCATAACTAATAGTTTCTTAAACTCCAGTTTTGGAAACTTCTGTTTTCTTCTCTTATTTTCCTTTGGCTTTCCCCTTCCCCCCTTGCAATTATCTTATATCTAATCTCCTCAGAAACGTCTCCTGAAAAAATGAATAACATGAATAAATAATGGCCAATTTGAATGGAAATTAAATAAAGGGAGGGTGGTCTCTGTATATCACCTGATACATAAAATCATGATATATTTGGAAAATAATCATGCCATACAATGTTAGCAACACTGCACAGCTTCATCAAAAGCCCAGAATCATCAGAAGATAAGTGGGAACATGTGAATGGCCATTTAGGCCATCTTGCAGTAGCTTCAGTAGTGCTCCTTTCCTCACTCAGCCATGAAGGAGCAGCTTGGGCCTGATTAGCCTTCTAGCTCTTCTACAGGGTGCATTGATCCTCAAGTCTCCCACAGCATCTTTGATCTCAAGGACAAAGAAAGCGAAACACATCTGCTTCAAGTACTCAATTGTTCATTAATTCAAAGCAGCCGGAGGGATCACTTTGATATGCAATCAGGAGTTTTCTTTTTGTGTCTGTATTAAATGAGCTTTACCTTTAAAAGTGCACATGCGTGACATTTAAGGTCACGATGACCTTCAGGTGACGAATCCGCTAGTAGGAGCTTCTGTCTTTCTTTAAAAGACAAAACCTACCAGCTACCAGCTCAACTAAAGGTGGGCAATACTAGGATGTGTTATCTTTATAGTGATGAAATACACCACAATATGCTTTACTGAATACACCATGGCTAACATTAACTTCATATATCACAAAAACGACAGATTTAGGCAAATTATAAAGAGTCTGTAAACAGCAACGGCCAGCGGATAGTAACTGCATAAACAGCATAGTAACATTGGGCCTCATTCACCAAATGTTCTTAAGAAGAATATTTTTCTTAAAAGCCTCTTTCTCAGTTTTCACAAAGAGTCCGATGTTCATCAATGTTTTCTTATTTGGGATTTGTTTTTAGGTTAGAACAGAATCGACACATACTCTAGAGCACATGGTGCGATTTTTAAGAACACGTCATGAATCTGACATCGATGTTTTCTTAGGACCTTCCTTAAGAACAAATTTAAGAAAAAAATAGGAACATATTGGTGAATGAGGCCCATTGATCTGATTGAATGTCAGCCCATCATCTCATTTTATTTGTTTGTTATTTGCCTTCAGTTTGATTCTTCCAGCTTTTACTTCTAATTTTGTTAATGTTGAATTAAAAAAAGACTTTTTCAAAATGTGGCACTCATGTTTTGCTGGTGCATTTTGTCTATTCCAACTTGTTTACCAAACAAAAAAACAGTGAAAATGTATCAAGTATTGCAGTGTTATATTTGTGTCTTAGGGTGTTTTCACACTAGTTTTTTTCCGGACCCTGGACCGCTTGTTCTGCGAGTTACGTTTGGTCAAATGTGAAAGCTGTTTTCACAGAAGCAATCTCCGGTTCTCTTTGGTGCTGCACGTGTGGAAGCTATCCACTCCAGGGGCCAGGTGTGGAGTACCATGAATGGTTCATGATATCGTGGGAAAAGACTGTTATGGGCAGCGGAGGAGAGGTAACGCCTCATAAAGACACGGAGCAAAGGAGACAATCAAGCGGCAATGGCCACAACTCATAAAAACTCCCAATTTTTTCAGTATATAAACGAACATCACAGAAAAGTGACGTATGGAATTGCGCAATCGATCCACGCTTCAGATGGAATACTTGTGTGTGAAAGCAAACCAGCGATACTGAGCCCCTCCCCCAGACAAGCCCAGAATCGGTCCTGGGTGCGGACTCAGGTGTGAAAACACCCTTAAATCAACGTTCTTCACAATTTATTAGTGATAAATCTTGAACCAGCAAACCGAGGTAGCAGCAGGTGGCATGTGGTCTGACCTTGTCGGACTGCTGGTAAGAGGAGCTGAGTGGAAAGGCTGTGACTGCCCGACTCTCTCTTGTGGTTCAGGGTTGAGATGAAGCTTCCATATGAGGAGAAAGGTAGCTTCGGTCCACGATCCAAACTCTGTCAGGGGAACAAACCCATATTCAAACAAAATATACACACACAAGCTGAGACAATGCACTTGAATTATGACAAAAAAATACATGCCCCACAAATTACAAGTGTGGGATCTAACTTGAACACAGCAAATGGGTGGAAAACTCTAATTTACTTTGTGTGCCGCAGCACAGAGGACCACCTCAAAGCCTGAGATCGGTGTAGCACTGTGAGTAGGATGTGGGGCGTGACCAGGAGTGGTTTAATCAATTCAAAGGCCTCTAATCTCAGCATCACCGTTGGGGCAGATAAACAAAGCAATGCCTGAGGCAAAAACAGTGGAACACCAAAAAAGTTGAACCTTTTTCCCCTCGTTTGCCCTCATCAGATGCAGATATTCTGGATGCTGCCTTACATAACAAAATAAATCAAGTGTTAGCCAGATGGTTCCACCCTTTGGTTTAATCAGTAACACAAGTTTTATGCAGAAAAAACAGCAGTTTAAAGGGTGATGTATTACATAGCCAGGTCTTATAATGCTTTTAGAACATTTCTGGATAATTGAACTTAAAACATCCATGCATATGCACTTACGAACTCAAAGCAACATGAGTCAGTATAGTACATTGCAACACTACGAGATGTTACCTCACCCTAAGGATGTACCGATACGGTTTAACGTTTTTGGTGTGCCAATATCGATATCTGATATTTTTTTACGTATATATCTGCTGATACATAAACATTCATAAAACTAAAATAAATTCACTTACAGCTTAAAATATCATTAAAGAGAAATATACAATTTATTTCTGTAGTGTTAATGCAGTAAAAGGAATAAAATGCAGATATTTTAGCACTGTAGCCCACCATCACCAACACACTGCGCTCAACATCAACATCTGTTCAATGTTGTAATGTTTCTTTTAAGCAATTATCTGCTGATAATTATATGATTCTGATATTATTGCGCATCCCCACTTCACTCAGTCAAACTTCAGAAACTTCAGAGGCGTCTGTGAAACTTCTAACCATTTCATTTGTCCATCTGTGGAGAACCGAGTCTGAGGGACCCTTGCCAATGTTCCCTCACATTTTAAAAAGAAAGTGGTAAAAACGTTCTTTGGAGCAATACTAAAGAATAACCACTGTTAATGCAGTAAAAAACTTTCAGTTAAGTGAGTTACTACCTGCTGAACGTTAGAAGAACCAAAAGTGGGTTTCTACAGTGTTTTTATTTTCAACAGGACAGACGGGACTGACTAATAAAACTAATGTTAATTCAGTGAAGATCAGCAACAGCTTCTGAGGTGAAAAGTCACATTTTAAACAACTCCAGTCTGCACAAGAGCGAGGAAAGCCAGTCTTACATGGGTTAGAATGGGAGGAAGTCTGTCTCTGTCCCTGTCTTCTAGCGGGTAGTTATTCTCGCTCATCTTCAGACGCATGTCCTCCTGGGTGAAGACCACTTCTTCTTGCAAACACAGTCACATGGCTCGGATGGTGGAGGAAAGTCCGTGTTAATGTTAAAGTAAGGCGGAAAGCTCCGTCCTGAAGAACACAGTGCAGTAAACAGATGGAGCAGACAGACAGACAGGCAGGCAGGCAGACAGCTCGCAGCCGCGGCGGCGGAGATTCAGGCTTAGCAGGTGAGTTTTCGGACTTTCCAGAAGAAACTAGAAACACTACGATGTTCTCGCCATCCAGAGACGAAAATCCAGCTCCGTGTGAGAAAATAACCGAGAGCAGAGCGGAAAGCAGAGCGGACTCAGAGTCGCCGCTCACTTCAGACACTCAGCGGAGCGCTGCCCTGTGTGTGTGTGTGTGAGTGTGTGTGTTTGAGTGAGTGTGTGTGAGGCAGCTGCACGCTGGCGCCATGTTGGTGAGGAGGATGGAGCTGCTAAGGCTGCGTAAGAGTGTGAGAGAGTGGGCTGGCCTCTGTGTGTGTGTGTGTGTGTGTGTGTGTGGTGTGTGTGTGTGCGTAGCTAATGATTATAAGTGCACAGATTCAGATTGTAATATATAGGTTATACATGGGTAATATATATATACCCATATTGGCTATAAATAAATAAATATATATATATATATATATATATATATATATATATATATATATATATATCCAATTATCTTGCATGGCAAATTATGCCTATATTTCTTAAACGCACTTCAGTGTGTATAACTAATTGCATTTCATTTCATCCTTCTTTTTTTGGAGGAAACCAACAACGTAGGGAAAGGCTGGTGTGCGACTTTTTGAGTTATGAGCTATGTCATAATCAGAAGAATACATTTGACTCATAATATACAATCACCATAACTACATATCATAAATTTAGTAATACAATAAAATAAAACAAAAAATATAAAACACACATATATCAAAATTATGGTGGGGCACATGCCCCCCCAGCTTGAATGGGCATGATGCCCCTGATGGATGGATGGATGGATAGATAGATAGATAGATAGATAGATAGATAGATAGATAGATAGATAGATAGATAGATAGATAGATAGATAGATAATTAGAAAGGTAATTAATAAATGAACATAATTTAACCTCATTCTTTTGTGTGGTTAATCATGATTAATCAAGACCATTTGCTCTAATTTGACCCTACAGAAAGATTTCAAAGCAGTGCATTTTATTATAGCTGTATGAATAGATAAAATAAGATTGTTTTGTTTTACTATTTTTTTCTTGCCAGTTTTGCTTTTGTTACTTTCTGTCTTGTGAGCACTGTTCAGTATAGTCTGCTACAATTACAACTGTTGAATTACTGATATGTAACAATATGGATAAAAGCATTAGAAAATAGTGGTGTTAATGATTTATTGTGTCAGTCACAGTGAATCACTGGATCTCCTGGGCTTCAAAACACCTTTCACACCTGACCAAACGTACCAAACTCACAGAGCAAGTGGTCCTGGGTCAGGGAAAAAACTCTTGTGTGAAAACGCCCTGAGACACAAATACTGCAATACTTGAATACTTGATACATTTTCACAGTATCTGTCATACAAGAAGAATTTCTTAGTTTCCAAAAAGTAGTTGATATTTTATGAGCTGGTTAGAAGAGCACAGGTTTGTATATATATATATATATATATATATATATATATATATATATATATATATATATATATATATATATATATATATTGCTGTCCCCTCTTTCCATACCCTTTTTAACACATTTTTTGTAGTCAAGATATTACAGCACTTATCATTACATCACAGGTTAACAAATAAATTAAAATGGTTAACAACCATATTGTCACAGCTGCACTTTTAATGATTGTGCTTACAAATCTTTATAATGATGAAAATAAAAGTAGATTACAAAGTGTAAAAGAGTGTGAGCATTAATAAGCATCTACTGAAGGGAAATTCCTCTGAAGAAATCTGCATCATTCAATCATTGGGATGTTAACAAAGTCTTTCATAGTAGTTTGATGTGAAGCGGTTCATTGTAGAGAAACTTTCAGGCTCAGATTTCTTTACAGTGGTGGCAAAAGGAGCCAGGGGTCATGATATCTACAACACGAGTATAGCCGTTTAAATCACTGTCCCAAACCACCAGTGACCCTTACACATCTTTATATGCAACACGAGTTTGTACATGTAATGTTGATAAGGCTAAGATAGTGATAAATACAAAAAATGTGTTGTGGTTGGGTACCAATTTGCCTTACAAATAGTATTTTGGAAATTGTTTTATGCCAAAACCTTCTCAAAACTATTGTAAGACGATGTATCATAAATGAAACAATGTTTTCACAACAATTTGACTTAAAAACTTTTCATGAGGGAGTTTTTTAGGGGCATTAAACATTGGTTCCTATCACCATCACTGTGAACATTTCTTACTCCGTAAGTTTCTTTAGAACAGAACATTTCATATCTGGTATATGGCTTCACATATGTGGTTCTATATTTTTGAAAATGGCTCTGTACAGCACTAAAAAGGGTTCTTCTATTGTTAGGAGCTTGATATCGTAATAGCAGAACCTTTTTGATGCTATATAGAACCATATACAACACATGCTCCATCAGTCTGAAAAAACATTTCACTATGCAAAGAACCATTGAAGCATGCAATGGTTCTGTATAGAACTCATGGTTCTAAATAGAACCATTTATTTTATTTAGAAACTCTTGTAAAACCATCTTTTTAAGAGTGTACTGTTGTAGTTTGTTATATTTTGTTAATATTGCTGTATTTATTAGTAAGCCAGATAGTTCAAATACAGCAAAGGCAGACTGATGTGGATTTGCATTCTGTCTCAGGAGGTTATGAGGTTCTGTGCGTCAGCGGAGGCCCAGGAATCCCTCTGGAACATCCCCTAACCAACATATCTGCATGCAAGAGGCATCAGTTAGATGGCTCAGTGTGTACGTGGTTCATTCTACTGAATTGTTTAAAGTCAGAGTTGAAAAGACTTGGACTTTAGACTAAAATCCTTTTGCTTTTTCAATGATTATGTTTATTTTATTTAAATAATCATCAAACATGAAATCAATCATAACACTACCAAAACTTTACCAAACATTTTGGTAGTGACTGTTTACATATCAGCAGTGTAACAATTTGAGTAGAATCTTTGAAATATTTACATAAATTTCAGAACTTCTCAGTATTTGTTATTTGTTCCCTCTTTTACTTTAAAGACAGTGTGTACTTAAGCTCCACAAGTGCAAGTACCATATGTTTCGGTAGTGAAAGTTTTGAGCATAACTCAAAAACATTAGCCAGTACATGATTAGTAGGTATAAAACATGAAATCACAATATTTTCATCAGGTTTACTTGATTGAGGAAAAGAGGTATGAGAATTCTTGTTCCACACTGATTTTCAGACTTTGAGATATTTACTTCAAACCAAAGGGATCTAACTGCTCACTATGTGGCCATGAGGGACAGAGATGCAGTCTCACTTCCTGCTCTAAAATATTCCCTATAAATTATAACTTTTTATATATTTAGCTTATTAATATCTCTAATGTCTTGAGTTTAAATAGATCATAACATAATCCTTGTAAATATCTAAGATCTGAATACGATGTAATTGTTTTAAACTGTTTTTAAGTTTTATGGTGGCACTGCAGTTTGAACTAATTCAGCAGAATGCTGTATATCAGACAAACACATAGCACAATAACATACTGTATAAATCTTCTATACCAAAAGCTACATCAGCTGTACTGTGGTGGATCTGTTATTTTGGTGTCTTTCTTTCTGTTATATCATTTCTTTTTACATTATATGATAAAAACTGCTCTGGATAAACAGCGGAAAAGCTACAGCGCAGCAGTGAAGCCTATAGACACAGTATCAGAGCCAAAGGAATAATGAGAGCAGCACACAGGAAAATGCAGATTAGAGGGAGGAGTGTGAATCATGGATAGCAACAGAAGTGGGAAGAGTAATTAAGGCAAACAAAGGAAATAAACGAGATGCTTTGGTTTATTGAAACCAAGGGAGAAATGATCAGAGAGTTTTTACCACTGCGGCTTCTGTCAGATCTTTCTGTCTGCTAAAAATAAACACTATTCATACAGTTGTTTTATAAGATAATAGGCAAGTGTAAACAAGTTATCATCAACAGCAGTATTTTTCATATTTAGGTTAGAGGTGTGCAAAATATGATTTTTTATAGCTTTTTATGATAATTTTGCAGTAAGATTCTGGTCTAAATTTTTATTTTCCAAAGTCTTTCTTGACAGATTTACCACTGTTTTACCATCATTAACATCACATATAAAAACTCAGAAGACATGTTTAGGTCAACTGTTCATTTTGGATAATAAATAAAATGGTTATATTTGCAATTTAGACATTGCAACTATGCATTGCTATGTTCCTGTGCGTTTTTATAGTTTTGTTTTCAGCCAAATTGGCCAATGGACAATTTTTATTAGTCTTTCCAACCACAATTTGCCACACCTACTCCAGCTGGTCAACCTCTTCCCAAGTCCCTGACTGGCTGGATCAGATGTATTAGAGTGAGGTAATGGGCGGGGCAGCAAGGTAGTTCTCCAGGACCAGGGCTGGAGACCACTGGTGTAAACTAAGGGAACATATGACATGCACTAGCAGCAGCACTTTCTATTAGCCAGAGTCACTTTATCACTATGTAGATACAACATTGTTCAATCTTTAAATGGGCAACCTGGAATTTTAAATTCATTAAATTTAATGCCTCTAAAAGCTTTAAATTCATAAACACCCATTTAAATAATAAAGTGCTACATCGAAAGCAACAGGCAACTGACTGTTTAGCACAATGAGTCATGCAGAAATACGCTATGGAATTTTGATGTAATTGTAGCAGTAGCATTCAGGTACAGAGGCAGTGCACTTACCTGTCTCACGTTATTGACATCATAAAACTGCAACATAGATCAGCTAAAATAAAAAGAATAAATTGGCTGATTGCTTGTTCAAAAAAATAAAAAATCCGCTGACCAGCGAAAAAAGAGAAAAACATTATTACTCACATGTTGGTCTTTGGTGGCTTAGATGACTTCTAAAAATGTCTTCTTAGGAAAAACAGCATTACACAAGACATGAAACAGGATAGACAGACGAGACATGAGATGCAGCAGAGGAAAAGGAGATAATCAGAATTTAGCTGAAGATAAGTGACCACAATGTGTGACTTTATTGAGCTCTCTACTAAAAACCTGGAGGAGACACACACCAGATTCCTGGGCTCTTATTCTGAGGAGAAGTATCTGAGCAGCTGAAGACTTGAAGGGGAACATCATTGATTTTTCAAAATTTCTGCATAGTTAAAGGGTTGAGCCTTAATGGTTAAACAAAGGCAGTCAGAGTGATTTGATGTGAAATGCTTCCTTCTAGAAACACTAAATCTGAATTGTTCACAGTGGTGG